AATCCTTTTGGAAAATATAAAGCAATAATCCTGATCTTTAAACCCTGTAGTACTGAATAAAACTAAGTGGTAGAAATTTTGGAAAACAGTATTGAGGGACAAACCTCCCAGTGAAAGAATATAACTGATGCCTTTTTAAACTTGAATACATTGCTTATGTTCTTCTTATTATTATTTATTTTTTGGCCTCCTACAGCTATTTTTGTGCAGAAAAAGAGATAAAAATAAAATACGATGGTCTAGCCTTGAAATCAGTAGTCTAATTCATATTGCTTTCAGTGTGCTGGATTTCACCAAGAGTTAGCTTATTCTTATCTGAGATGCATCGTAGTAAAGACAGAAGATAACTCCTTTTTCTCTTGGTCATCAGACAAAATGTAGTTGAAAAATGTGATAAACCAGAAAAATTCTATAAAGTTTGAGTGACTTAAAACTCTAAGAGAACTCCAAGAAGAGAAGTTACAAAAGAACATTTTGCCTCCTACAAGGGTTTCACTTAGCTTTTTCTCTTCTTGAGCTAAGCATATAAAATGTTCACGCTCTGCAAAAATTTATAAACACCAGCACTCTTCCCCAGCAATGAAACCTGTTCCTAGCACCACCTTCAAGCAGCTGCCACCAATCTTAGAGGACACTGCACTTCTCCCCATTATTCAATCCTCCTTGTGAAAGGTAACCATCTGTGAGACATATTCCTAGCCACCTGCTGCCCCAGCCAGCTGTTTCAATTGTATGTTGCAGCTGCCACTTATGAAAGAAACTAAAAGCAAAAAATGCTCCAAGCAAGTGGGAAACTGGTAGGTTGTCAGAGGTAGAGGCGTGGATTAAAACTTGAGGACAAAAACTGAAAAAAATTGTCTGTTGAACACAGTAGCAAGGAGATAAACAAAGACTGCCAGCAGCTGAAATGGCCCAAAGGGTCTCAGCAGGTTTCTTTCCCCTCAAGCAACTCTTCTGCTATGCTAGAACCAGCTTAAAGCTTTGCTTTTCAACATAGCTCTAAGGAAACAGGAAAATTTGCTCAAGCCTTCTCCCCTCTCAGGATTTCAGCTAGGAAAAGACTAGAATTAGAGTAAACATTTAGGAGACAGTTGACCAGAGTAAATGTTGTCCATGCTTCACACATATGAGGAAGTTACATAGCAGTAAGACTAAAAGGGGATTTCAGTTGTATGCAGGTCCTGTGTTGACACTGTACGCATGGCAAATTCAAAAGAAAATATTTAATCTCCTTGTGAAAGGAAGTGCATTCAAAAGGACTAGTGAGAAGCTGAAACCCCGACAGATGCAGACAGCCTAAATTTCTAAAGAATTTGGAGAGGGGAAAAGTCATTCACAGTAAGAAAAAAAAAAAAATCAGGGTGAAAGATCAAATTACCTGTTCACTCTAAATAGCAAAATTAATGGGACAAATACACAGCAGATACAAGCAAAGAATGGAGTTACTTTCACTGAAGCTATCCTGATTTACAACAGCTGAAGATGTCACAAGAATCTTAAAATTAATATTCTATTCTGTCCACCTGTGCCAATTTATGTCTCCTCCCCCCCTCCTTTTTTTTTTTTTTTTTTTTTTTTTTTTTTTTTTTTTTCCTTTAATATGATCTTTAGACAAACTTATCAGTGCTTTATGGCAAGGTCTCCAACAATTTGCTATCCAACATTAATATTAAACAGATGATGAGCTGGTACATCATTATTGGGTAACAGCTTATCTCTTGCATGCAGGGAAATTGAGTCAATTTTAAATAACTGAGCTATTATTAAAAAATATGTTTGTCGTTAAAATAACTAAGTGCTGCCAGTCACCACCAGTTCTGGTAACTAGTGTCTAGATTTACAACAGTGTTGTAAAACATGGAAATTTAACTCAGTTGATGTTTCCCCTGTGGTCATGAAAATGCATCACTAGTTTTCTGAATTACATTAGAGTCTTCCATTCCAAGTTCTATTTTGGGTAGGTACACTGTGCATAATGTTGAATTATTTAATAGTAGGATGTTAATATAATTTATTACAATTAAAATAGATACAATCTTGTTTCTAATGTTTGTTTTTACCAATCCTTGCTTCTAAGACTATTTGATTGCTAATCTGGTAATGAAACAGAATGAAGTGCTTCAGAGAATATAATGCTATCTAACTGCATTTCTTAAAAGAAGTTATGGGAGCATGCATGAGTGTGCATGCACACATATGTTGCCCATATTATTAAATCATTGAGTTTCTTTTAAAAATCTCTTTAGAGATGACTGGAAGAAATCCTCTGTTTTCCATTACTTCCTTAAAGACTGAAATTCAATTTGCAAAGTAAAGGAAAACTTTATTAATATGAAATTACTGTTAAATTTTCTAAATAGATTTTATTACTTATGAAACTATGTTTTAAAATTATGGAACAAAAATATTAATAATTATATAAATTTAAATGTTAGGTAGGTACAAAACTGTTTACTACTGGAGAACATGGTGGAACAGAGTAGCCAAAAACAAAAAGTATATTGTGTGATGAATACAAGAGGCAAAATTTTAAAAGCATGTGCTTGATTTAATTTCTTCATTTTAGACTGAAACATTTGAACAAAAAGCCTAAATAAAAGAGGTACTCATGCTCGTTCCACTAAATTGAACAGGACTACCAGATGCTTTCATGATTACTTTAGGTAGCTAAACATTAAAAAAAAAAAAAAAAAAAAGGAGCCAAATCTTTGCTAGGATTGTGTGCCAGATAAGGTACTGAAAATCCAGAAGATTATAATAAATAAATATTCAGACTGAAGCAGAGTTTGAAAGAAAATTCAAATATCTATACCATTATCACAGGGTTTCTCTCATGATATTATCTGACTTTACTGAACTGACAGGGAAAGTTAGTGCATGCTAAGAGTACATTGCCAACTGATGGTTAAGTTTAGCTTCCAAGATCATAATGCTGACAAAAGTACATCTGTCTTGTGACTCAGTAAGACAACGATGAAAGAACACTCTGAGGAATAACTATTAAAGAAATTATATTTTTATATTATTAAAGTAAAAATGTAGATCTTTGAATATTTATATACATTTACATATACAAAATGTATTTGTGTGTGCATATGTACTATATATATGTGTATATTTACATATACATACAAACACATACTAATTTTAAGATTTAATCAAAAGCTGTCCCTTTAGAAAATTATAGTTCACGTTTCAAGTAGAAGATACTTTCTTTATGCTTGTTCATTTGGGGATAAATAGCAAATCACTATTTATAGAGTTTGGAAGTATTATTAGTGGGAAGTGTCCACAATCGTGTACAACACCAGGATACGTGTAACTAGAAAGACGTTTAGTAAATCAGTAGTTTCTATCTGCAATCAGTGCTCAAGAGGATACTCAAAATATCTAATCCATACATAATAGCTGATGATATCTCCAACTGTTAATGCACACAGGGAGGAAAAGTGCTTGAAAAATAACTGATAGTTGGATGATGTGAACAGGACTACTATCAGTTGAAAAGCAGAGAATACAGTGAATGTTCAGAAATATTCTATTAGAAAGAGGTATGTATATCTAATGTTATATATTATGCTATATATAAAACATATGTATTTTGCCACATTAAATTCTACTGTGCCAGACAAGGATATATATTACCCAAGATACTCTGCCATATTTTACCCAAGACTGTATATATGATCAGACAACTCAAACAAAATTTGGGAAGAAAAAAAAAAAAAAAAGGTATCTACACAGGTCTCCATTGAAAAATAAGGAGGAAGAAGGTTACAGATAATCATTGTTCTTCTGACACCAAAGAGTGAAAGAAAACACAGCCAAACTGATGATGTTCCTATTGTCCATTCAACTCTAGAAAACATTTCTAATTATACAGAAAATCTACTATCTCTGTTGGCACACTTAAGGAGTCTAGATGGGACATTTTATATTCAGCATGACTAAGTTTAATATAAGACAGTAGAAGTCTCAGTCATACATGTATTTTAGGCACTGTCAGAAAAATGGCTTGCTAAATGTGGTTCCTCTTTATTTGACAGATACACTTATTAGGCATATTATTATTATCCTACTCATTTCAGTGAAAGAAAGACACTCTAAATTCTGTTTTATCCACACTAACACTTCCAGAGATCACGCAGGTATGAAAGTATGATCTATGCTCTTTCCAACCTCACACTTCTTCAACAAAATGATTACATTTCGAGCTGTTGTCTTTGCTTTTCAGGGAGGAAAGCTTTTGCTTTCACAGGTCTGAACCAGCTGAACTGTAAATGAAAGCTCATTTCATCCATCATTATTAAACATGCAAAGAAAACCAGCTTGATTTTCAGATCACAGAGCAGTACAGATGACAGAAGGCCACATTCCTATTCAGAGAGCCTTGAAGTAACAGCATAGCAAACAGAGTAATCACTGCATGCAAATAATACAATTACAGAGGTCTTATATTGTACAGATTGATGGTGAAAGGCAATTACTGTCAAGAACTGTTGCATCGCCATAATCACTAAAAAGAACTACTTGAAACACTACTATCACAAGTTAGACTGACACGCAAATGGAGTAAGAGATTGACTTTGACACATAAGAGAAGTCTGAAATCTTCAGAAGAGGTCAGAGAAATCACAAAAGCAGGACCTTTTACCAGGAAGCCAATGTTGCTTGGATATCTTGCAAATTTCAAGGAAAACTACATTTGGTTCAAAATAGACGAAGAAGAAGATTACAAATGGTATCACACCTGAGTGAATAGACTTCTTTATTATTATTATTTTTCCCTGTAGGGACAGGATGAAGGCAGAGATCAGTAGGTCTTTTTTACAATTTACCCATACCCAATACTGAAAAGAGAATAATGAGGGAGCAAAAAAGAAAAAAAAATAGTTGTTTTTGTTGGTTTTAAACAAAAACAGAGCTTGTCAATAATTAAGTTATGGATAACATCCACTGTAATGGAGAATTTATATGGTAGTAATAGAAAATAATCTTACCAGTAAAGTTGATGGGCTATTTGTGTGCTTTGAAGAGAGCGATGCAACAGGAGTTTTACTAGAGGGCTTTCAAGACTCCATTCAAACTTAAGCACCTTAACAGACAATAACAAGAATCACTTTCATGCTGATTTTGTTGTCTTTCCTTTATAATAAAATAAAATGAATCAGAAAGAACATTATCTCCAGTGAATAGTTTGAAGGAACCAATCCAACTTACGGAGAATAGGGAATGAATAAAGAAACTTCTGGATGTAAGTGTCTACCATCATCTGTAAGACAGGCAGATATCATCCTGATTCTGGACACGTTAAAAAACATGCAAATATGTAGCCTTTAGTATATTGAAATTTTACCCTGACTAATTGGTTTGGAAAATAAACTCTATCCAAAAAGTTACTTGTGAAACAAGAGCTGATAAAGGTGAAATGTAACATAAGCATCCTACTCTGCTGAATGCTGTAAAGATGTGCAGGTTCCGCTGCTTCACAGAAATGGATTATGTAGATTTGTGCATGCATGTATATTTATGTGTCTATACTAATATATGTGTATGTGTGTGTGTATATGTATATATATATAAATTTTATTTTATTTTTTTAAAAAAAGGAACTCTGAAATGATGAAGTGTAAGTAATCCGTGTATAGTGGTACCAAGTAAGAGGACAAAGATTTTGATTGGCTGCCTCCTCCTTAACTACAGAACAGCACCTATTCAGCCACAAAGTAATTATTTTAAATGCAGTGGGCCCATTACTTGTAAAATATAAATTTCCAGTGAAAAGCAATGTACCTCTCTAAAGAGACTGTTCTACAACCAACCTGGTCTGGTTACTCTATGCTGACAATGATTTTCCCGATATATTTGGTATTAAGAAAACTGCAATTAATTGCAAAGAAACCTCTCATTCTCTGACTGCAATGAAGCCTGGCCTGGTGGTCATAGCAGCATTTCAGTTGTTCACTTTTTCAGATGTTTCCAACCCTGATATCCCCCAACTTTTTTTTTTTTTTTTTTCCCAGTTGTGGAAAAGACTTCTTGACGTATATGGAAAAGTTCAATCAGTATGCCAAAACAACTGCATTTTCTTGAGTGAAAAACAGTCTGTGCCTCAATCCTATTAATTTAATCATCACATCAGATGATCAGTCTTTCTTATTATTCCTCTTATAATGTATTATGCAGAAAGAAACCAAAATGTTTAATGAAGTTATTGATCTGGACAGAAGACTTCCTTGGCTATCAATTTCTTTCTTACCTGAACCAGCTGTGGGAGGTATTCTAGCAATTCATCATTTGACAGATTTTCTATTTGTTGGACTGCTGTTCTGCGAATATCTTTATCTGGAAAACTAAAGCAAAACAAATAGATATCATTAAGAGGTACCAAGCCACTGTTGATGCACTGCAACCCTCTTGAGCTCTCACTGATACTATATACTAGAAAAACAGGTTTTCTCTCAAAATGGAATAGGAAAAAATCAATTCATTTGCCTTACTGTAACAAGAGTCAAGAAACACATAGCAGATAGCTTAATTGAATCGACTGTTACAATGCCACACAAGGATAAAAACCAACTCACAACACTGATCTTCAAATCCTTTTTTTTTTTTTTTTAACTTGAACTATCACGTTATAATTTCCTTTATATATATCAAAATATAAAGGAAATTTTGTGTCCTCCCTTGCTGTTCTTACTTACCTGAAATACAAAATTTCTGTGCAATAGAACCTGTCAACAGTCACTTGAAGACATATTGTTCTGAGCAACAACTTGAAAACTTGAAATTTTCCATAACAGAAGGGTTCATTTTAGATAAATTATTGGACCTACTTGAAAGGCCTGACTTCTATGCTGCACTTGGCTACCACCTGTAGCTCTTTCAACATCCTCCTCCTTCTCTGCCCCCTCCCCTGTCATTTTAGCAATGTGGCTCAGTTCAGATTTTAATATTTTATTTGTCTGCTATGGTACCTATTTGATGATGTTTATAATACAGTTAATAATTGCAAGCATGATGCCAAGAGGGCCTTTATGGAGAGAGAGAAGAAATACTTTATAAATAAATTATCAGGTTAGTCCCAAATTAGCCTATTTTACAAGAGTTATTTATTTATTTACTTATATGTTATAGGCAACCAGTTAGCAATATGAAGTCTTCAATATACATATGGCTATTTAGAACAAAACATAATTGAAGAAAGACTACATATTAAAAAAATTAATCCCTTTCATATCATCCCATGATCTAATTTTGCAATTGCTCCAAAGGCCTCACTACCAAATGTGCAAATAATATGGAAATTAATCTTTACCTTCTCACCTAGCTCAACATGTTACTGAACAGCAAAGTATGTTCTATGCTTGGCACCAAGTCAAGCAGAAAAATATTAGTTACTGCTTGTCCTTATTAGCAGCCAACATTAGAATATATGTAATGTTATGATGGGAGAAACTCCTATATTTTTTACAGCTAAACAGAGAACAACAAAATTAGTTTAATCTAAATCTTCCCCAAAAATCAACAGCTAACTTTTGATTTGTTTAGAATTAGTTTGCCATAAATCAGAACTGAGATTATTCCTAAATTAGCAAAAGTATTTACATGAAATCTGATTAGAGTAATGATGAGCTCAAGTTCATAGGCATTGTAGTGAAAAATCTACAGGTTATTTATTTCAGGAAACACGACACTTGTCACAATGATCTTGAGTGAGGTTTTGGGTAATTTGTTGGCCTTAGTTACTAAACTGTTTCCCTCAGCATGTAAATCTCAAGGTTAGCTTGAGGCTGAGTTGGATCTTTTTTAAGGAATAGGCAATCAATGTATTTCCTTAACCATCTGACAATTTGCTAAATCTCAAATGTAATATCCATTGCTCTTTTGAATTTCAACATTGTTTAGGACCACAGCAGAAAAATATTTAATTTGATTTGGTTTACCTTCTATATTTCTATTTGAGCAAACATTTAACATCCTCAGAAACACTGGAACTACAACAACTGGTGCTTATGCTACTCATGCACACATGCATCAGTTTATTTGCTGAAATCTAATAATGTGGTAAGGTCTAGAAGGCGATCTGAATAAGAAATGCTACGTTTCACATGCCTGGAAACTATGCTATCCTTGCGGTCCTGGGCTTGAGGGGGTTTCCAGTGAACAGTCTTGCAAAATTTTGAGTGTTGCATCAAACCTGATCTCAGTAATACATTATTCTTGATTAGAGGAGAAACAGACTTCATCTCTGAGGCTCACTGCAAGAAATCACTTTAGGCCTAAGGAAAACATCTTCATTGTTTGGATATTGGGGACAAACCTGATTTCCAGGGCTTGCTACAATGAATATGTAATCATTTCTACATACTGAAAACTCAAGAAGCACAGAAGATGAAACGACTGTATCACAATGGATTCAATATTACAGTGTTTAGGGCACCCTCCTAAGAAGCAGGAGTTCACAGAATCACAGAATCACAGAATTTCTAGGTTGGAAGAGACCTCAAGATCATCGAGTCCAACCTCTAACCTAACACTAACAGTCCCCACTAAACCATATCCCTAAGCTCTACATCTAAACGTCTTTTGAAGACTTCCAGGGATGGTGACTCCACCACCTCCCTGGGCAGCCCGTTCCAGTGCCTCACAACCCTTTCAGTAAAGAAATTCTTCCTAACATCTAACCTAAAGCTCCCCTGGCGTAACTTTAGCCCATTCCCCCTCGTCCTGTCACCAGGCACATGGGAGAACAGGCCAACCCCCACCTCTCTACAGCCTCCTTTAATGTACTTATACAGAGCAATAAGGTCACCCCTGAGCCTCCTCTTCTCTAGGCTGAACAAGCCCAGCTCCTTCAGCCGCTCCTCATAGGACTTGCTCTCCAGGCCCCTCACCAGCTTTGTCGCCCTTCTCTGGACCCGCTCAAGCACCTCGATGTCCTTCTTGTAGCGAGGGGCCCAAAACTGAACACAGTACTCGAGGTGCGGCCTCACCAGAGCCGAGTACAGGGGGACGATCACCTCCCTAGCCCTGCTGGTCACAGTGTTTCTGATACAAGCCAGGATGCCGTTGGCCTTCTTGGCCACCTGAGCACACTGCTGGCTCATATTCAGCCGACTGTCCACCATCACTCCCAGGTCCTTCTCTGCCTGGCAGCTCTCCAACCATTCCTCTCCCAGCCTGTAGTTCTGCTTGGGGTTATTGCGCCCCAGGTGCAGGACCCGGCACTTGGCCTTGTTGAACTTCATGCAGTTGACCTCAGCCCATCGGTGCAGCCTATCCAGATCCTCCTGCAGAGCCTTCCTACCCTCGAGCAGATCGACACACGCACCTAGCTTGGTGTCATCTGCAAACTTACTGAGGGTGCACTCAATGCCATCATCCAGATCATTGATGAAGATGTTAAAGAGGACCGGCCCCAGCACCGAGCCCTGGGGGACGCCACTAGTGACTGGCCTCCAACTGGACTTGGCTCCATTCACCACAACGCTTTGGGCCCGGCTATCCAGCCAGTTTCTAACCCAACGAAGCGTGCGCCAGTCCAAGCCAAGAGCAGCCAGTTTCTTGAGGAGAATGCTGTGGGAGACGGTGTCAAAAGCCTTGCTGAAGTCAAGGTAGACCACATCCACAGCCTTTCCCTCATCCACCCAGCGCGTCACTTTGTCGTAGAAGGAGATCAGGTTCATCAAGCAGGACCTGCCTTCCATAAACCCATGCTGGCTGGGCCTGATCGCCTGCTTGCCCTTCAAGTGCCGCGTGATGACTCCCAAGAGGATCTGCTCCATGAGCTTCCCTGGTACTGAGGTCAAACTGACCGGCCTGTAGTTCCCCGGGTCTGCCCTCCGGCCCTTCTTGTAGATGGGCGTCACATTTGCTAGTCGCCAGTCAGCTGGGACCTCTCCCGATAGCCAGGACTGCTGATAAATGATGGATAGGGGCTTGGCCAGCTCCTCTGCCAGTTCTCTCAGTACCCTTGGGTGGATCCCATCCGGCCCCATCGATTTGTGCACATCCAAGTGCCGTAGCAGGTCACCAACCAGTTCTTCGTGGATGGTGAGGGCCACATCCTGCTCCCCGTCCCCTTCCACCAGTTCTGGGTACTGGGTATCCAGAGAGCAACCGGTTTTGCCACTAAAGACTGAGGCAAAGAAGGCATTAAGCACCTCTGCCTTTTCCTCATCTCTTGTAACTAAGTTTCCCCCCGCATCCAGTAAAGGATGGAGATTCTCCCTAGTCCTCCTTTTTGTGTTGATGTATTTATAAAAGCGTTTTTTGTTATCTTTAACAGCAGTAGCCAGATTGAGCTCCAGATGAGCTTTGGCCTTCCTAATCTTGTCCCTGCACAGCCTCGCTACATCCTTATAGTCCTCCTTAGTGGCCTGCCCAATTTTCCAAAGATTATAAACCCTCTTTTTCCTCCTAAGCTCAAGCCACAATTCTCTGTTGAGCCAGGCTGGTCTTCTTCCCCGCTGGCTCATCTTTGGGCACATGGGGACAGACCGCTCCTGCGCCATTAGGATTTGCCTCTTAAAGAGCGCCCAGCCTTCCTGGACCCCTCTGCCCTTCAGAACCGCCTCCCATGGGACTCCACCAACTAGTGTCCTGAGCAGCCCAAAGTCAGCCCTCCGAAAGTCCAATACAGTGGTTTTACTGGTTCCCTTCCTGGCCCCGCCAAGAATAGTGAACTCCACCATTTCGTGGTCACTCTGCCCAAGACAGCTCCCGACAATCACATCCTCCACCAGTCCTTCTCTGTTTGAGAAGAGAAGGTCTAGCAGGGCACCACCCCTGGTAGGTTCACTAATCAGCTGCGTCAGGAAGCTATCTTCCACTTTCTCCAGAAACCTCCTAGACTGCTTCCTCTGGGCTGTGTTGTGCTTCCAGGATATGTCAGGGAAGTTGAAGTCCCCCACGAGTACAAGCGCCGACGAATTCGCAACTTCTGTCAGCTGCCTGTAGAACTCCTCATCCGTCTCCTCATCCTGGTTCGGCGGTCTATAGCAGACCCCGACCAGGACACTAGCCTTGTTGTCCCTGCCGATCCTAACCCAAAGGGACTCGATCTTGTCATTCCTAGCCTCGAGTTCTACAACATCGAAAGACTCTCTAATATAGAGAGCCACACCGCCACCCCTTCTGTGCTGCCTGTCCCTTCTGAAGAGCCTATAGCCAGGCATCGCAGCACTCCAGTCATGAGACTGGTCCCACCACGTTTCCGTGATGGCAACCAAGTCGTAGCCTGCCCGCTGCACGATGGCTTCCAGCTCCTCCTGTTTGTTACCCATGCTGCGTGCATTGGTGTAGATGCACTTCAGCTGGGCCTTTACCTTATTCTCCGGCCTTGCCATTG